TCTGGTACTCTGCAGGCTAGGGGCTGTAAATGCACTCTTAGATGTCTTCAGGCCATAGTGGGCTCCCCGCAGTGGCTGTGGTAAGTGAAGGGGAATCTGAAGAACAGTAATAAAAGGATTATCAAGGGCCGGGCCTTGGTGGCACATACCTTTAATCCCAGCACTCGGGAGGCAGAGGCAGGCGGATCTCTGTGAGTTCAAGACCAGCCTGGTCTACAGAGCGAGTTCCAGGACAGATTCCAAAAGAATACAGAGAAACCCTGTCTCAAAAAACAAAACAACAAAAACAAACAAAGATTATCAAGTGTTTGTTTTATTAAGAGGATAATCTAGTTGCCTAATTGCAATGAAGAAGAAACAAAACTGGGTGTGTGCCGGGCGTTGGTGGCGCACGCCTTTAATCCCAGCACTCGGGAGGCAGAGGCAGGCGGATCTCTGTGAGTTCGAGACCAGCCTGGACTACCAAGCGAGTTCCAGGACAACCTCCAAAGCCACAGAGAAACCCTGTCTCAAAAAAAAACCAAAAAAAAAAAAAAAAAAACTGGGTGTGAATACTTCTGCGGCCAGAGCCTGCCATGACCTTAGGCTGCACAACTGTTCACTCTGCCAATTTCTCCAAGAGGGACTCAGGCATATCCTGTGGTCAGAATTGCTGTCAGCCAAACTCCATCCTCAAACCCCACTTGCCTTTTAGGAGGTAGTACTCCTAATGATTAGTACAATAGGGCCAGCAAGAGGGCTCAGTGGATAAAGGTGCTTGCTGCCAAGCCTGAGCATCTGAGATCCGTTTCTGGGATCCACATGGTAGAAGACAGAACCAACTCCCACAAGCTGTCTTTTGAACTCTTCATAAGTTCATGATGGAGAAAGAAACTCCATTTTGTGTGAGTCATCCATCTTGGTACCTAATAGCTGTTTAACTCTGAGTCACGTTTCTAAAAGATAAGTTCCTGCAACTCTGATTCCTTGACAACCACCCAGAAATGTAGAGCTGTGACCATCTGCTTGTTATGATATGACTAACTACTGATTTTGGCTTTTGTAACCCGCTTATGCAGATCAAGGTCTCCTTGTGTTTTTTGCCTGCAGAAACCCTTCCCTGACTCCTCATCTGGCTTAGAGTCTGTACTCATGCTGGCAGTTTTAATAAAATTGGCTAATTATAATCTAATTGAATATGGAGGTCCTTTCCTGGGGGTGATGAACTCTGTAACAAGTATGGGAGTATACACATGATTGCATGGATACATACAAATATATATAAGTAAATAAAATGTAATGAAACTTAAATAAACATGTAAAAATATGTATCTACCTCCTAGTACAGACTTTTCTCTTTTCCATCCTTGACTCATTTTATTTAGACATGTTGGTATTGACAAAAGCCCCTACTGGGTGCCCCGCTGTTTAGAGAATAGGCACAGCTCATACTAGCAGTGTCCATGCAGCTGTGTCTACTCCTGGTCTCCTGGAGAAAGCATGATCCAAACCCGAGACCAGACAGAGGGGAGAGAGAGAAAGAATACATTCACACGGAAAGGAGACAGTGTGAGAGGCACGGAAGAGAGAGCTAAGAAAAGGGGCGTGGGGAGACACAGACAGGTGAGGGCCGGAGCCACAGAGGAGGATGGACAGACAGCACCCTGGACACAGGGAAAGACAGAAAGAAGAAAGTAACAGGAGATGGAGACACAGGGAGGAGGCAAAGAGAAACTAAAAATGAAAACGTTTTGAATAATGGAGCTGGAGAAATAGTTCTGGGTTGGAGAGGCGCTTGCTGGGCAAGCATGAGGCCCCAGCTTCAACCCCCAGGACCCGTGTCTAAAGGAGAAGCAGAGGGTGGTCGTGTGCTTGAAAAGCCCGTGCTGGGAAGTCGAGAGGGGCGCTCTCGGGGGCTCTAGGCCAGCTTCAGGTCCGTGGGAGACTATCTCCAAAAGGGAAACTGGGGGTTGGAGAGGCGGCTCAGAGTCCAGAGTGCCTGCTGCTCTTCCAGAAGGCCCGAGCTCAGTCCCTGGCACCCACACGGAGTGCTCCAGGGGGTCCAGTGCCTTTTGTGGTCTCTGGGGGCTCCTGCATGCACATGGTGCACATAAATTCACAAAAGCCCACAATGACATATACGTAAATAATATAAAAAGCTGGAGAGTACCTAAGGAGTGACACTTGAGGCTGACCTCTGACCTCCAAGCATGTATGGGCCCTCTGAGGGGGATGGGGACAGAGAGAGAGAGAGAGAGAGAGAGAGAGAGAGAGAGAGAGAGAGAGAGAGAGAGAGTTGAATAAAGATCGACTCGGTATATGCTGCAGTGTTTTTGTGAGGCAGTGAAGCGGAAATAAGGAGAGAGAGGCCCCCTTTCCTTCCCAGGAAGAGAGTACAACTGCCTCGGCAGATAGAAATTGTAGAGAATTTTCTGGAGGGTCAGGTGACTTCTCCACCTATGCTTACCACAAGCTGGTTGAAGTGCTCACGCCCTATGCAGCCCCTGACTTTATCACAAAGAGGGTGAGCCCCAGCCATGGGGAGTCTGGGCACACTCGGGACAGATATCTGATCTCCATATTCACTTGAGGGTTGGAGAGTGAGCCCGTGAGATTGGGGGTCAGACTACACCAGCCATGTTGAAGGGATAAGTGTTAGAAAAGGATAGAGAAGAGAAACCTGCTTAGGGTAGGACAGGGCACGGGTGCTGCTGAGGCGTGTGTCCTCTGAAGAAGGGTCACCCTAAGACATGGTCCAGGGTTAGCCTTGGCTGGAAGTACCCCGAGGGAACAGGACTGTAGGTCTCTGGGATCCAAAATTATGAAGTCTGGGTTTTCTTTGGATTGATTTATTTAATTTATTTGATGTGGTGTGTGTGTGTGAGAGAGAGAGAGAGAGAGAGAGAGAGAGAGAGAGAGAGAGAGAGAGAGAGAGAGAGAGAGAGAGAGAGAGAGAGAGAGAGCCCACAGAAGTCAGAAGAAAACATTGGATCTCTTGGAACTGGAGTGACAGGGCTGTTAGCGCTGTGAGTGGCAGTTCATGTGCTGGAAACAGAGCCTGGATCCTCTGCAATAGAAGTAAGTCTCTTAACTGTTAGCTCACCTCTCCTGCCCCGGAAACCTGGGTTTTCTCTGTTTCCTGCTTAGTCTTCTCCCTGCAGGGCATGCTCAGAATCTACAAACAAGATCTACAAACAATGATTCAAGGCCAGGAAGGTGGCCACATCTTTCATGCCAGCACTTGGGAGGCAGGGTCTGGTGGATCTTTGTGAGTCCAAGTCTAACTTGGTCTACATAGTGAGTCCCAGGACAGCCAGAGCTACATAATGTGACCCTGTCTTCAAGAAAACAAAAGTCAACGATTGATCTGCAGTGTTGATTCAGGGCTGGTCCTTCAGCTCCAGCAAGGTTTGGAGATCCACAGATAACCTTCTTAAAATTCTTGCCTGTGAAGATTAATCACCTGTCTCCCACAGAAAGAAAAGGCCCTGGGGAGATGCTAGGGAGTTTGGCCTCTGTTGTACCTGCCTCCACAGAGCCTGAGGTGGGGGACAGTCTGTGGTTCCAGTACCTCCAACCTGTGACTTGCCCTAGTGCAGCCTTCACAAATTTCTTCAAGGGCCTCCTCGTCTTTCCCGGGAAGTGAATCTAGGGGCAGACCCTGAGTATGACATACAAAAACACGCAGTCTGCCCAGGGTTTGCTGGCTCAGAAAAGCAAGCAAGTGACAAATAACCCGGACGTGTTTTTTTTTTTTTTTTTTTGGTTTTACGAGACAGGGTTTCTCTGTATTGTTTTGGAGGCTGTCGGTCCAGCCTGGCCTTGAACTCACAGAGATCCGCCTGCCTCTGCCTCCCGAGTGCTGGGATTAAAGGCGTGGGCCACCAACGCCCGGCCAGACGCGTTTTTTGACCTATGTACTCACACCTTCCGTAGTCATGTGTTTATTCCTGAGACAAGGTTTCACTGTGTAGCCCTGAGTGGTCTGGAACTCTATGTAGACCAGGCTGGCCAAGAACTCATAAAGATCTGCCTGGCTCTGCCTCCTGAGTGCTGGAATTAAAGCTGAGAGCCGCTGGGCGTTGGTGGCGCACGCCTTTAATCCCAGCACTCAGGAGGCAGAGGCAGGTGGGTTTTTGTGAGTTCGAGACCAGCCTGGCCTACAAGAGCGAGTTCCAGGACAGTCTCCAAAGCCACAGAGAAACCCTGTCTCAAAAAACCAAAAATAAATAAATAAGTAAATAATAAAAAATTGAGCGCCACCATGACTGGCCTTGTTTATTTTTGAGCCAGGGTCTCACTATGTAGCTTTAGTCGGGACTAAAAGGTACGCACCACCTCCACACCTGGCCCTAGTGTTTCCTACTAGTGACAGATTTTTGGAGAGACGCATCATTGAGCAGAAAGCATTTCCAGCCTCTCCAGTTGATAGTCCTGCTGTGGTCGGGAGTCCGGGAAGTGGTGTTATAATTTTAAGTAGGTTTGGGAATAAGGAAGAGGACCTTGCGGCGTGGGTGTGGCTGCCGGCTGCCTCTGTCTGACGCCGAGAGAACACAGACGACCTGGATGGGTTCTTCGCCCGTTTGTAGTTGGGTTTAGAGTTAATCCTAACTCAAATCGAATTCCCTTACTCCGGGCTGGTAGGTAATTGTGTGAGACCCAGGAATAGGCGAGGAACCTAAGCTCTCTGGGAAGAAACATCTGGACATGAGAGTAACAGGAGCAATGTGTTTCTGACCTCAGCAGTAAGGTGCACGGCCGTTTTAGCTAATTACGTCAATTGCTAATACACAACTGGAGTCCTGTAGACCGCAAATCCCGCGGCAGTGCTGGGGCGCGGAGGCCTGGACGAGCCACTACTCAGCCTAGCCCTGGACACAGGCAGGCGCCTGGAGCCTGGAGGTGCCTGAGGCAGGGACTTCAGGCGCGCGATGGGCGGGGTCAGGGGCGGGTCCTGCTCTGGACCACACCCACTTCAGAGTCTGGCGCGGGCGGGCTGAGCGCTGCTTAAAGAGCGGTGCGGTGGCGCGCCCGGCGTAGTGTCGCGCGCGCAGGGCAGCACACGTGTCTCCCGGTGTGGCTCCTGAGTTCCACCCTACCCTCCAGGGTCGAGAGACTGGGGGTGGCCCCGGACCCCTTTTGGTGTGCGCTCACCCTGGCCTGCGTGAGCGTGACCCACGCAGTTCCCTCCGCTCCCGGAGCCAACTTGGCCAAGCAACTGTCCCGGGAGCGGCGCGCGGGGGGTACCGGGCACTGCGCATGCGGAGCTCCAAATTCAAACAGCTGTGCCCAGGTCTGCAGTACCGGTGGACCCAGAGCCGCTGGATCTAGGGGACGCTTTCTCCGGGAGGTGGCCACTGAAGAGCCATGGTGGACCGGGGTCCCTTACTCACCTCGGCCATCATTTTCTACCTGGCCATCGGGGCGGCGATCTTCGAAGTGCTGGAGGAGCCGCACTGGAAGGAGGCCAAGAAAAACTACTATACACAGAAACTGCATCTGCTCAAGGAGTTCCCGTGCCTGAGCCAGGAGGGCCTGGACAAGATCCTACAGGTGAGCCGGGGGTCGCCCGAGTCCCTCGCGTGCACCTGAGGTGTTGGGGCTACGGCGATGTTTTAGGGGAGACCCCTCCCTCCTACAACGCCCGATGACACCCCTCCAAGCCAACCAGAGGTCCCAGGGTGTTGGGGAGGAAGTTCCTCATCAGGTGTCAGGTTGGAACGATCTCTCTCTCTCGTCCAAAGACAAGGGGGTTCCCCACGCGCGCAGACTCGGTCACAACCCAGTTCGTTCCGAGAACATTGGGGGTTGACTCCAGGGCGAACTGGGCCCCGCGGTGGCGCAGTGTGGGTGTGCGGGTGCCTCCCTCTTTGGAGGGAGATTGTGGGGCGGATAAAGGCGTTTATCTTTCCTTGGAGACGCTCCCGGAGTACGGGAGCGGAGCCGGGTGCCACCCCTCGCGTCTCCTCCTCCTGCTTCTGGGCCGTTGCCGCGCCTGCTCGACCTTTCTTAAGAACTTGAATATAGTAGTAGTTTTTCTTGAGAGCCCCCCAGGGCTCCGCGGGTCGCTGCTGTCAAGAGTGGGGCAGGGGGCTTGGAAGGGTCCCGAGTGCCCCCGGAGGAAGGTCTGAGGTTGGAATGCTGGGAACGCTCCCGGGCTTCCGGGAAGTCTTATCAGGCTGAGACATCCCTCAGACTCGGAGTTAAGACTTTGCCAAAGTAGCAGGTTGCACAAACGAACACCCCAAACCAGGTAGTCCCTTTTCGGGGAGGGAGGAGAGTGTGGGTGAAGGGAAGTTTCCTCGGTGTTGGCTTGTGGAGTCTCTTATCTGAGAATGCACACGCCCACTGCACGGCATTGACCTCACCGTGGTAAACTTGACGGATCATCTCAACTGGAACCTTGTGCCAACTTGGGGTGAGAGGTCCCCCGGTACCTGTTTCTTTGAGGGCTCAGCCCCAACCATCTATCCCTGTGCCGATGGCCTCCTATCAATAATAGCAGGATTAGATTGGAGCTGGGATAGATTGGCCGAGCTATTATAGATCTGATCTGGTACGGTTAATGGACATCGCCTCCTCCGTTCTTTCCACGAATCTCTCACTCTCTGGGGTCATTTTCCTGTTTTTTCAAATGGGAACAAACCATCTTCATCTTGTCCTACCTACCCTGGACTGCTCCTGCTGTAATGGTAAACTTTTGAGAAAACCTGAACATATCTTAGTGGCACTCACCTCCTATGTTGTCTCCAGTTTGCAGATGGACATTCACTGAGATAAGACGTGTAATTTAGGTGCCTAAGGGACCACGGGCTATGTAGAGAATTGTCCTCAGGAAGTCTTCCAGACGGAATACACTACCAGGTGGGGTAGAGTAGAGTCACCCGTCCCCTGTGCAGTTTCTGGGAGTTTCTAAAGGTGCACGGTTGGTCTAGCTCCTCTTCCAAGGGGTTCTGGAAAGATCCCAGTACCCCCTGCTAGGTGCCTGCTGTGTCTGGGTGTGCTGAAGGAAGGTGGTCAGTTGATGGTTTCCCTGGAGGAAACAATATCTCTGGAGGGGAGTTCTTGCGGTTCGCCCCAGGGCTTCGTTTGGGGGGGCCAGGGGAGGATGGTGGTGCTAAGTGTCCCTCTCCCTGCTGCTCCTCTGCCGTGGCAGGGGAAGCAAGGAAAGAATTCAAGGCTAAATGTGGGAAAATAAACTTCAAAACACAAGAGGGAAAGGGGGTGGGGGCGGGCAGGGGTTACGCAGCCGAGTGCATCTGGTGGTGGTAGCTTTACAAGCTAGGCGGCTTCCGTAGGGTTTTGAGAAAACAAAACGCCTTTATTTTGAGGTTGCTTGTCTGTCAGTGGTACCTCCACCCCCAAAGTGGACAGGTAAAAGGTCAGAAAAAAGGATTTGAGCAACATCAGACCAGTGTGATTTGGAGGAAATTCTAGATACTTTGCTTGAATGAACAAGGACAGCCCTGTCATCCTCCCCCCCCCCAAAAAAAAGCCTTGCCAACCCGAGCTGGGCAAATTCCCTCCTTTCAAAGGAAAAACCCAAGAAATGAAAAAGGACAAATGAAAGCATTTGCCAGCCTCAGCTTAATCTGCAAAAATCTGCCTCTCTCGGCTTTCTGATCTGTGACTTGGGGCGCTGCCTCAGGCCTCAGGAAATTGGTTTAAGGAAAAAACTGAAAACTCAAAAATCTTCCCATCTGGCCGCCTATGGCAGCTTGGGTATTTTCCACCTGAGGTACTAGGTTTTAGCCGGTCTGAGCTGCCCTGGTCGTCACAAAGCAGCCCCTTAGTTGAAAATTCCTGGGGTGGGAGCGGGAGGTAGCCGTGCTTGGGTGGGGTGGGGTTTACTGCTGCAGACTGGGCTACCTAGGGGAAGGCACAGAAAGACAGGGGGAAGTCTAGGGAGACGCTGTCAGGCCCCCCGCTCGCTCATACTGTGCCAGCACACCAGCCTGGGACCATGACTGCCCTCCTTACCTTCCTCCTTTCTGAATTCTCAAGTGATAACTGCTCCTCATTACTGTTGCAGTTTTTTTTAAGGCAGGCTCTCAGACTGGCCTAGAACTCGCTGTGTAGCTGAGGATGACCTTGACCAGGCCTCCTGCCGTCACTGGTGCTATACCTCCTGCTGTGAATGTAGGCGCTGGGGGAGAGCCCAGGACGTTTTTGTACCCAGACAAGCATTCTTCGCCGCACTCCAGTACATCTTGGGCTCTGATTTTAGTTTTTTTTTAAACAAATCTTACTTATTTATTGATTGGTTGATTGCTTGATTGATTGGTTGACTGATTGAGACAGGGTCTTACTGTGTAGCTCTGTCTTGTTCATTATGTAGACCAGGTTGGCCTTGAACTCAGAGATCCGTTTGCCTCTGCCTCACAAGTGCTAGGATTATTGTGTGCCAGTATGCTCATCTGATTTTATTTAATTTTTTATTTTTTACTTTTGGGTTTTTGTTTTTAGAGATAAGGTTTCTCTGTGTAGCCCTGGCTGTTCTTGAAGTCACTCTGTAGACAAGGCTGGCCTTGAACTCACAGATCCTCCCGCCTCTGCCTTACCTGCCTTATGAGTGCTGGGACTAAAGGCATGGGCCGTCGCGGCCCAGCTAGTTTTTGAGATAGTCATGGTATGTAGTCCAAGTTGCCCTTGAATGCATAATCATTCTGCCCGATCCCCTGCGGAGGCTGAGATTATAAGCATATGCCTTCATGTTTGGCATCGCCAGATTTTTGGTGGCTGGCTTTCCTCGCTGTTGTCAAGTATATTTCTTTTCCCTTCTTTCTTTTTTACTCAGCAAGGGACACTAGCATTGGTAGTGCATCCTACTGTGTGGAACACTGTGGTTAAAGTTATCCTCATTCTACGGGAACACATAAGATGATATTGATTGCCTCCTGGCGTGGCCATTCCTCATCAAACAGTTAACTTACCTGAGCCTCGATTTCCTCATGTGCAAAATGAGCAGTTTGGTGAGAGTCCGGGAAGGAGGCGTCAATAGAAGCGGGCAGGCTCTTGCCACCGCTGCTAACATTTATTGAGTTTTATGGAGCACTCCCCGAGGAAGGCACCCTGCCAAGGACTTTACCTGCTTGCTTCGGGTACATTAAGAAAGATAAGGCGGCTGACACCCTTGGCCACAAGGACAAGAACTTCAGCCTGTCTCCAGGCCGTATCCACCTTTGCCAGCCCACCACAGGAGTGTTGCTTTCTCTAAGTGAGCTGAGTTAATTGGTTCAGCTTGACTTTGGACAGCTGGGAAATTCTATTTTTTGTTTCCTCTGGAACAGGCATTGGCACGCAGGCTTCTCCGGTGTGGCTGCCTGGCTGACCCGGCACTGTCTGCGTCACTGAAATTATGCTCTGGTTCGCCATTCACTCCTTCGCACGGCTGTATTTTGGAAGCCCCTCTTCCTTCTCCCTCCCCCAAAGTAGAGGACCGAGTTGAAGTGTGGCAGACTGACAGCCCGTGAAACAAACTGTTCCGCATCCCTACAGAGGAGCTCTCAAAGGCATCTTAACATGGAATCCAGGCTGGTCAGGGAGGGGTCTCAGGAAGTGAACTTAGGCCGGAGTGAAGAAAGAGCCCTAACTTTGGGATGTCCCCCTCTCCTAGCACAGAAGAGTCGCCAGGCTTCTTGGTGGGAATCGCATGTCCCCTGGGACTGGGATAGGATGACAGTTGGCCTTTTTCTGCTCTGGTACTCCAGACTGAGCCCTGGGTTTCCCTGGGCAGCTGGCATAACTGACCCACTGTGAAAAGTCCTGGATCCGGATGACCACTTTCCCACCTGGACTCCAAAATTTGCTTTTTGGTTTTTGCTTGTTATGGCATTTGAGATGGACCAAAAGGCCTCCCTCATGCTAGGCTGAACTACATCTCCAGTCCCTTTAAGCTTCATCATATTCTAGTGGTTTCCATGTATACCTCCTTTAATTTCTAAGCTCTTAAATCCTCCACACGTTCAACAGGAGTAATACACATCCCAGTCTCGGAATTGTGAACCATTACTAATACCTGTCCTCCCCCAAATTATAAAAAAAAAAACCTCTGGACTCTGTCATCATGACTTTTGTTTACAGTGAGGCATTGGAAGGCTTGGAGAAAAGGTTCTCTGAGCTCAGGGGAGCAGAGGGTTAATATATGAATACCCACTTTGTCTCAAGCCACGGGGCACACCGAGCCTTACAGCTCCCTTCGCCTGCCTTGCGTTTGAGTCTTGAGTTTGGAGACTTCCGTGTCTCCAGCTCAGCGTGAATTCTCAGTCAAGGGCTGCAGAGGCGGAAAGTGGGTTTCTCTGTATAGCCCTGGAACTCTGTAGACAAGGCTGGCTTTGAACTCACAGAGATTCAACTGCCTCTGCCTCCCAAGTGCCTGAATGCTGGGGTTAAAGGCGTGTGCCAGCATACCCAGTTTAAATTGAGTTTTTGAGAGGAAGAAGAAAGACAACCCTCCCTCCCTCCCTCCCTCCCTCCCTCCCTCCCTTCCTTCCTTCCTTCCTTCCTTTGAGACAAGTTTCTTCTTGTAGCCCTGGTTGTCCTGGAACTCATGC